TGAGGTCTCGTTTTCTGTATATTGTGCAAAGACATTTATACAAATTATTTGGGAGAAATTTAACATTTCAGGATAATTGAAACCCTGAATTCTCTGTTTTCAAGTGACATTTTCAAACATCTTACTAGCATCAAAATAACATTAAAGAATCACCATGTTGATGCTATAAAAAATATTTTTCTTAACATTATGTCAGTGGGGTCCATGGGGAGGGTCATAATAGTCAATATGGCAATCTTGGAATCACGCTTAAAGCCCTGCCCTTTTATATCTGCATGCAATGTCAATGCATTTGCAAAAAGGCAGGCTCATGATGTTGTGACTGCCACCTTGCCTATTTTGACACTTTCCCCTTTGACAATTTTGTCTTTTAAAGATGTATTCTTCCCTAATTCCTACTCATTTAAATGAGATGGTTTCAACCTCTTGTCTACTAGCATAATGTTTTGTGAGCAGACTCATCTGCAAGAAACGGGGGCGGGGGGTGGGCATCCTTTATGAGCTCTCTTTCCCACCGCAACACTTACTGGCACTTCCCCCATTGCTCCTCATGGCTCTCCAATCCACTGAAGCCAATCTGGAGATCATAGCAGGCTGCAACAGAAGGGAGTTCCAGTGCAAATGACCACTATGCGTGTTCTGCTCTGCAAGAAAGAGCCCTTCCATTCAGAGAGAGAGAGTTTCTGAATCCAGCCTCATGAATCTATTGAAATAATGAGGTCATCAGATGGATTTGCCTTCAGTTACACTGCAAAAAGATTTTATATAAAAATGTAAACTAAATTGTCTAGCCCAAGAATATGCATAGATATAATGTCATTGATTCTGAACTAGCCTTTGCAAAGCAGAACTCCAATTATAACATGATTTTAACAAAAATCAAGCAAATAATGATTAATCAGTTCATAATTCATTCTAAAGAATTAGATTGATGAGTGATGGTAGTAGTGAAGAATTTATAACTCTATGCATGTATAAATTAATAAACTATTCTATTAAGGTTTGCTGAACTTGTCAAGAACGGCTCATTCGGAATAAAGATTTTTTTGAATAAACAAAAAACTCCTCCTGGTGTGCCTACAGCATATGTATTTAGTATTATTTATTTTAACTGGAATTATCATTAGGTCAAGAGTACATAAAATGGAAATGCACACTGCTATTTTCCAGAACAAAAAAAAGGGGGGCTTCAGGAAAAATCAGGATAAAATCCTTTTAAGTTTAATGGGAAGGGGGGAAAAAAACAGTTTGTAATGTTAATTTGCAAATGTTTATGTAAAAATAGTCTGCTTATAAATAAAGAGTATCTGCCATTAGGAACATGCTCATAGTACAACTCTCTTTTTATCAACCATTTATTAAAACTTGCAAGTTTCTTGTAATTCCTACCAGATCAAGCAATACACTTCCCCCAGCTGGATTTTAAACTACTGGAACTTGCTCAGTATACATGATATGCTTGGTTTACTTTAGAATCTAGCATGCCCCTGAAAAAGTAAATAGTAAAAGAATTGGAATGGAAATGCACACAATTTGTGATGTTACATTCTTTCTCCCTACCCTTCTCCTCTCAGTTAGAGGTCCTTGTCTTGTCTTGTCTTGTCTGGACAAGATTCTTCCAGCACAAAGCTGTGCGCAACTCTGGTTCTCTAATATGCGATGGGCCTTGGAAGAAAGGGCAGCAGCCTTTCTAGGCCAGCAGAGCTCATGGACCACGATGCCCCATCTTCATCCTAATGAGCCATGACTCATCATGTCTTGTTGAGGAGTGGGACCTAGAGGAGCCAGAGAGCGCAAAATGTCTCCCTTGCTCTTCACCAATATGGAAAACACACAGCCAGTCTTTCACATGATAGTTTTAGACCATTCTTGGAATGAAGCCTCTGGACAAAGAACCAAGTGCCACTCAGATTTCAATTAAACTGTTGTGGCACTTGATCCACCCTGGAACAATAAGTGATACAGGTGTAGCAGCAAGATATAAAGAAGCTGAAAGACAGAAGAAGAGAAGGAGAGGTACAAGCTCTTTAGATATTTTTCATGACCCCTTCAATAAAAAATAACAGTGAGAAGATTTCTAAGTGCAGGCAAGGGGTGCTGTTCCAGTGGAGCTGTCTAAAATTATCTAGAAAATAGCTCTAAAGGCACATTCTTAAGATCACTTAACACATTTTACCCTTTAACACATTGTAATAACCTATAATCAAGATGGTTAAAAACTTAGATTTTTTTCTCACATTCATTGCCTGTTCAAATCTAGCATGCTGATTATTATAATTCTGTTTTAGTGATGCAAAGGACAGAAGCAGAGGAGGGTAATGAGATTAATTAATCTGGAATAAAACAGTGTGATCTTGTGATATGCCCTAGGACAGGATTTGGCTCCCATGTTGATATGACCTAAAAGGAGACAATTTCTTCTTCTTTTTTTAATGAAAATCAAAATATTGGATAATTTGGAAAAGATGAAACTTCCTGATTAGGAAAAACATGCAAGGGGCCCTGTTTGTGCCTATCTGCCATAAAATGATGTTAATGGTAGAATATGCACATTCTCATTCATAGACATACAAGGAAATTTCCTTCAAGATGGTTCAGGAGAGGGTTGGACCTTGAAAAAGACAGTGTTAGTTCCTTAAAGACTAGCAGTGCATCTATACACATCCTCATAAATCCAAATGAGTGGGAGAACCCCCAGGTATATAAATGTAGAAACACAGTTTAAGAAAGCTAGAATTCTCTTCAAAGTTGCTAGCATTTCTTCAAAATGCTATGTATTGTTGTTTTTCTTGGTATCAGCTGTCTAATCAATCATAGACATGTAATATTATTCTGTACATGAAATATCTTCTTGGCATAAATAGAATTGACAGAAAACAGTTTTGAATTTTAGTCAGAGTACACCTTTTTTTTTTAATTCAGATGCTAAACTTTTTTTCACACAGTTTTCTAAAAATATAATAAAATTCACCATCCTCTTTCCAGTTCACGTGGAGGGTATGTGCTGTAACTAAAGCTGTGTTACACCCTCCTACCTTTACCAGTTCATCCCTTTGCATGCTTTCATAGAACCAATACATTAAATTCTGTTCCAGGGCAACTACAATTTTTCCAAATTATAGAAAAACCACTTTGACTCAGAAGTTACACCATGGAGGAGCAGCACAAAATCTCCCCTGTGTTTTACAAAGATGGCTTGAGATGTTTCCCTTGGATTGCAGACTCGCAGGGCATGGCTTTTTATACCTCATCAGATCTCTTCTTCCTTGCAGGGTTGCAAGTAACAGCTGGACCACAATGAACCTCCTTCACAGATGTAGGAATGTTTATATTCAACTGCCAAAGACTAAAGGCCCTTCGCTTTCACTAACCAGTCACGGTTTGCATTGTTGTATTCTTATTTCTTTTCTCTAATTGTTTCTTGATAATGCATCTTTTCACTCTTGCCCATACTTGCGCAAAGGGCACTGAAATATTAGCCAGATTATAAATTCATTGGAAAATTATGTTCAGAATGTGTGCTTTGTGAATAGATCTAGGGAATTAATTTCCTTAGAGAGCTTTGCTTTTATTATAAACATACCCATTCGATAACATAAAAAGAAGGAAAAAAAGCCCTAAAAAGTTGTAATCTTGCAACCAAATATTCCAGTTTAATCCCATTAGCTTTAAACTAGATTTATTTGAAAATAAGTGGTTTCAGCATTGCAGCTTAACTGAAAGAAGTAGAAAATGTTAGTCTTTTCTCTAAATTCAAATCTATCCAGCATAATTTAAAATGTAGCTCTTCTTTAAAAGTTAGCTGTTTTCTCCTTATTAAATACTTCTTTATATAATATTTCATTGCAACTGGAAAATGTTCCCTTTTTATTATTATTATTATTATTATTATTATATATAAAACAGCTTTAATATGTAAGTCTGATGTTCTAGCAAACTGTTAACTTTTCAACTGAGATTCCAAACTTAGCTGTAAAATCTATAAAAATTATTTTTTGAATTCTCATTTTCAGTTGGCTATAATGTTAACATAAGGGTTATTTTTGTGTGTGCGTAAAAAAAAAATAGTTAAACCCTAACAAGGAACAAAATTTGCCACACCACACTATCAGGTTAAAAATAAAATAGTATAATAAAGGAAATACAAAGGCTTTGGCATGGTTTTTACAATCAACAATGGTTAATTTTGATATGTCGTTGTGAACAACTTCAAAACACTTAAGTTTAAAACTCTTGCAAGCACTTTTAATTGATTAGGAATGAATTCTAGATGCACAAAATGATTGGACTGTGAACAGTAGTACAACTATAGCTAAGAACAATTAACTTTTGCTGACCAAAAAAGAAACGTTTGATGCATGAAAATGTGTGTAAAACATCTATAGAATATTCTTGTTGAATATAAATGAAATTAACTTTATTATAGAAATCATTCTGGGAGATTTCTAGGGAAGACAAATACTTACATTTTGACATAAAACAAATTGGATTATATCGGAGACACAATCTACCCTTTTCCTATCAAACTTTTCTTCTTTGAAGTTAACCCTATGTTTGCAAATAAGCATCATCTGTTTATAACCTTTGGAAATTTCAACAGATATTTTCCTTACAGAAATATACTCTGAATTGTTCCTGGTTGAATTATATGCAGTGAAATAATACAGACTTGGAACATAGTCTGGAATCTATGAACCAATTGGTAGAAGTATTCAATATAGTTTGATAAAACTCTTAATTCGTGGCAAAGGTTGTTGATCATGGCTTCCTTTAAAAAAAAACTTCATGACCAACACAAAAGCAAACATCCATTCAGTCTACATTGTTCTTTCATTATAACATATAAATGCCCATTTACAAATAATACACCAAAATGAATAAAAGTTTGGATACCAAAATGAAGATTTGTTCCAACTGATATAATGCCTTCAGTATACAAAGGTCCATGTTAAAGTCTTTCCCCATGTGTTACATCATAGGATGCAGTTGTAGTACAGAAGTATGTGGAAAGCCATTCTTCTTTTAGAAATACAGATCAACCTCCAACTGATGTCCATATAGCCATTTACAAAATCAGCCCATGGTTTACTGTAACCTTGGCCAGTACTGAGACATATCAGGTTCACTGCCAGGAACTTGAACAGGAACTGACACTCCAGGAGAAATTAGACCTTGAAGGACGGGAAAAAAATGTGTTTGGGTGTGTATTTATAGATGAATGGATGGAAGATAGATGAAAGATAGATAGATAGACAGATAGACAGACAGACAGACAATAGATGATAGATGGACTTGACCCTATGTCAAGTGGCACTTTGGGAAGCCAGTAAATACTCCTGCGAACTGTTACTTGAAGTATTAAGGCACCGTGCTTTCTCAAAGGCTCAGTGTGGCCACTTCGAGAACTTCTATGCATGTACAGAGATCATTGTGAAATGACAAGTGGTTTTATTTTGGGATGTAATCCTGGCAGAAGTTCTCTCTGTGCATGTATATAAGTGCCCAGACCATGTATGTTTCTCTCGCTTCCCAACCATCCTTTCCAATGGTTTGAATAATAATAATAATAATAATAATAATAATAATAATAATAATAATAATAATAATATCATCCAATTATGTCCACCTATTGATATAAAAATAACCAGCAGTACAACAAATATGCAGGATGGTGCAGGGATTGGAAGAAGTGAGGTAACATAACACTGGATACAGTGTAATTTAATTTTGTTTTATATAAACATGTGCAAATTACATTTCTGGCTTTTTTTATAGTATCTCTTTAAAAAGAATAATAATTTAATAAGTAAAACAGAGAAATTTCAAATAACAAGGAAGTGAATGACAAAAATTCACATAATAATAATATGATAATTTACATAATATGAATTGTGCTTATTATTTATTTGGGGTACAACACAACCATAGCTCAGCACTTAAGTATAAAATAATTAGGTATATAAGTCTCCCACTGAAACTAATGGAACTTTGAAACTTCAACTGAGATAGATAGACAAAAATTCATTTAATTAATAATCAGAACAATAAAACGGTTGGGCAACAAAATTACATTACAACAGCCTTTTGGCTAAGATCAAGCATTCCTGAACTGAACTGAGTTTATCTCCTTGAATCCCATAATGTTTATCTCCTTCTCCATTATGGAGACAAAAGTGAGTTAAAGTTTGTCATAAAATTACGTTACTAATTTATCATTACTGTACTATTATATATAACAATATAATAAACACGGGCTACATCCTTGTGCATCTTTTTATGTCGAGATACCCTCCTTTCACCAAATAAGCAGAGAAACACAAAACCTATCAGTTATTCTACATGTTTAAAGAAGTGCTGACCCACAGCATTTGCATTAATGTATAAATTATTTACATTAACAGAGGCTCTCTAACAAAATAGGGCTTTCTTTTTAATTAGGCTATTTTATTCATGATCTCCAATGCTATCTAATTAAACTCTTAAAACTTTTATATGTTATTTCCTCTTATTTGTTTACCAGTTGATAATCTTTTGTGGCCATTTTTTTTTTAGGAAATTAATCTGCTTAACCATCTTTTAGATTACTGGAGTATACATGATTTGTAGTCTAGTACAGAAGTGTAGCATAGTCCATTACCTACATTAAATGTCTGCAACTTTTCAACTTACTCAAGTTTTAAAGATGTTTGCATTCTATTCTTATGGTTATCCATTCAAGATTCTTGAAATGGGCCCAGATATAAAATGGGACAAACAGAAAAATTAAGGAATGATTTTTATTACTGTATTAAGAAAAAGTAAACAAGTAATGTAAATGTCCACTAACTTAAATGTTTAAATTTGAAACTGAGACTATTACTTTCCAGTAACTAGTAGCAATAGGTTTCTAATCTTTTGAGAGAAAACAAGTCATCAAGTTCTGCACAAAGGAATCAAAATTCAGATTCATTGGAGAAGCACTCCTATCAATTATCTTTGACGAAGATACCAATGGTTGCTCACCTGTTGAAGTGGTTCCAGAAGTGCCCATTGGCTGGCTGTTCATATGTGTCTGCATATGAGGAGGGGTGTATGTATCATAGCTCCTCCCATTTACTGATGGACTGGTGGGCAACATGCAAGAATAAGAAGAAGTCTGGCTGGGTACTGGGGGCTGTGGGAGAAAAGACCAATATAAGGTTCATGACTCTTAGCAACATTTTCTGTTTTCTTTTTCTTTTTTTTATAGATGGTACAAATGTAATCTCCACAAACTCATGCAACATTCATATTTACTAATTGGTTCAAGTATGTTGGATGAGCTTCCCCTTTTCATTGCAAGAGGGAAGACGGATGCCCAGCTGCATTCTTTAGCATACAGAGGTTGGCTCTGTTTGCCAACACAACTGACTTAGCTTCTCCCCAGGGCAATAAACTCTCCCCCGTGTGCCAGCAGCCACTGACATGCATCAATAAGGCAGCCATGTAAAGGCCATTTTTAAGTCCCCCCCACTCACTGCAAAGCAGGCTTTGAGGCTGTTTTCCCCCCATTAGAAAAAAATAATGGGAGGGGGAAACACTGATGGCCTAATTAGGTTCAGTGCCACTGTGGATGGAGTCAGAGGGAGGGCTTTCCCATGCTGACCCCTCTTTCCCATTCACCGCCAACCCTACCCCATTTGTGATGGTCTCAGAGGGTGAAAAGTAGAAAGGAAAGAGTGACACAATGCCTAGAAAAGCTGCATTTTTGCAGGGCCCTTCCACAGCTTTGTGTCTGTTTCAGAGACAAAGGGTTACTTCTCTGTTAACCCTTTCAAAACCCTGTTTTCATGGAATGATTGACTGGGAGAGGGAAGATTAGTTCATCCTAAATCCTTCTAGGTTAATTTTCCAGGTTAGTTGACAAGCTTATGGTGATGGCACAACCCAGCCTCTGCTCAGTTAAACAGATCATGGAAACAGAGCCATTGGAGCCTTTCATTTGAATCTTAGACGCTGCTTTCCTGCGTACAGATAAGGTCCACTTCACCTCTATTTTCATAAACAGGATGGTACAATTGAATGCTTCCAGGACATTCACAAGTTGGGGGACTAACAATGAAGTATCTCTAATCAAAACTGTCACTGAACTGGAACTTAGGAGAAAATCCTTGAACTTTTCATGATTGTTCTAAGTGTCCATCAAAAGCATCTACTCCATATTAATAATAGGAGGAAATCAGGCCACCTAGCTTTCCAGTTTGCAAGCCTTAGCAAGAGCACAAAGGACTGGCTTCCTTCAGCCCAAACGAGAGGATTGCATTTCTTCCCATCCCACTCCCACCCCCTAGCCTAGAATAGATTCTGAAGCATGTAGGAACCTGGGGAGAAGGGGAAAAAAGAGGAGAAATGCCCAGAGAGTTAAGAGGAGTCAGTTTATGCAATTTTCATTTCACACAAAAGTGAAAAAGTTTTTTTTTTCTTTAAGGCAGTAGTCATAAACATCCAAATCTTCCATGCCTCAGCCTTCCATTTGAAAGTCACTGACATCTAGGTAGGCATGAAAGCTGGATCACTAACATTGACAGCACTTCTCAGTTGGTGCCATTTCCCCTATATATGCTAAACTTCACTTCCTACAACTGCTAGTTAGCATGAAGCTGGGATTATGAGAGTTGAAACTCTCTGACATATTTAGATAACACCTGATTAGAGAAAAGGCAAGAATTAAAATGCAAAATATTTCATTTTGCAGCATAATTCTATGCATATTGACTCCAAAGTAAATTTCAGTGAGTTTCTCTCAGTATTTTAGTATTAACTGAATTTAAATTGATCTGATGGTATATATTTAAAATGGCTTGGTTATTACAGAGGCAGGCGTAACGTAGTAAATCTTCTAAGTACAATTATACATAACTCCATAATTTATCCCACTAATATTTCCTCAGTTATATAGCTATCTGCAGTAATTGGAATTTGGAGCAAAATACTTAAAAGAACTCAAAGGTATTCACAGACATATGTTCTAACCTCTGTAGTTTGCAAATATAGGTTTTTTAATGCTAGTCTTTTTAAGGCTTTCTGTAAGACAGTAGTTCAAGTAGTTCCATATATCCATGGAATATCCATAACTTGCTATCTTCCTACGCATGTAACAATGATTCAGGCCCTAGAACTGTATTCTTTTCCGGAGTAGTTATCCGCATGCTTACAATCATGAGGGTTAGCAGCAATATTCATTTTAACACAGCTATTTGGAACTGCAGGTGCTGTTCACATCCTCTGCTTCCCCTTGGGTATTTCTAGGGTGCCAATAGCCATGGTGTCTCATCAGCCAAGGTGTAAGCCTGCTAGCATGTTAATAAGCTCCTTTTCCTCACCAGCACTATACTAATGAGTTTTTCTAGTTAGATACATTTTTAAACAGATATTTTCCTTTTACCCAATTGAAACTGTTTGCCTTTTGAATTCAGAGCTTCTGTATAATTTTATCAAATCCTTTCTTCCCCTTCCCAGGCCAAAAGCTGTTAGGATTAAGAGGTGGGAAGCTCTTCCCAGGATCCTCCTACTTTCTTCTATAATATACTAGAGCACAAGTTCTGTTGGCTGGATCTAATGACAAGCTGAGGATTGGACTAGAAGTTGGGCTGGACTAGAAACCAATTTGGAGAGAGGGGATTCTTAAGAGGGAAAATGCTGCTTAGGGCATCCTTTGTTTTCTTTGCAATTTCCCCCAAATAAAATGAAAAAATGGAGTAACCTTTATACTTCTCTTCCAATGGCTGCTGAAATGCCTATGCTACTTTGGTTTCTTCTACAACTTTGTAATCAGCTTGATATTTTAAAGAAGAGTAGCTGAATAGATAGAGTAGATAGCATTCAAGCATTTCCAGGGATCCAAATGCAGTCCCACACCAAATGTGTAGGACTAGCAAAATAATGTTATTCATTGAGCCTGAATTTACCGTCCTTAGTTCAGAATAATAGGATTACATTGAAATGTTACCAGAACTGATCAGCCAATTCATAGCAAGCCATTCTGTTACAACAGGCACGCCACGTAGGTTCAAAGAAAGTTCCAAATATTTATACAATCTATCAGCATCACATGAACAACAACAATTCCAATTGTAATCAAGGAGTCATTAATCACAGGTAACTTAAATTCAATAGAACTTTCTTTGCTAACTTTCTTTGGATCAGGACCAATGGGCACAGTTCAATAAAGACACAAAACACCTATCAGTCTATACTGGACTGCATGTTTTGGACACAGGTCAGGTCTACTGATTTTCTCGTAAAAAGTGTATAGTATGAAGGCCTGGAAAAATTCTTGTGAATTCCTTGGTAGTTAACAAAACACTATTTAGTTTCATGTTCCAGTTGCTTAAGCAAGGTTGCCTGTTTGAGATCAGAGCATCTTGCCTAGGCAGTAGCAGTGGCCCACACAAATTTATCTTTCAAGTGTCCCACAGCCTATGAAACTGGGGTTATAAGAATATGATTACAAACTTCATTGATATTAATCTTCATTTATGGCAGATTAAATTAATTTGGATTAATAACTGCCCATGAACTGCCCAGAGTCACTTTTTGTGAGATGGGCAGCATCTAAATTTGATAGATAGATAGATAGATAGATAGATAGATAGATAGATAGATAGATAGATAGATA